CACGTGCTACTGACATGAATAAAATCATCAAATTTTAATGACTAACACATGTGGTATTTCAACTCCTAACCCCTTACCCCTTCTCCAAGGAAACAAAAAAAAAATCGGTTACTTCAATTGGTTAATTAAGTGGGATAGGGTATGGGGAGTGAGGCTATAGCCAGGCTTTCCATAATGAACAAAATCAGGCAGGTACAGATGGTGGGGGAGATAGTAAGTTCAACCAGGACCTGATGCGTGAAAGCAGGGAGTGGTTCTTTCATTTCCTGCTCATTAGACCGTGGCATCTGCTCCATCCCTGCCCCTGATTAAATCAAATCATCGCCCCCCCCCCCCCTCAGCTCACAACAGATCTCACCCATCAGCCGCACCCACGGTCTAGACCCATCAGCCTGTACCCACGGTCTAGACCCATGGGCCGCACCCTCGGGCCGACACCCACCCGGATTTATACCGGGCGCCCGTGTGGGTCAAACCGTGCACTCCGGCATGGGATGGTCTTCTCTATTGGGATGCAGGTTTGCGTGTGGGAGGGAGGGGGGGGGGGCGCGTTCAGGCAGGGGTTACCGCCAGATGAATTATTCTTGCAGAAAATTCTGGTTTGCACGCTACACACCTCATCACGTGATCCATGTAAGCCTTTGCTAGTTTTTTTTCTAAGGGCCATAATACAGTTGGCTTCGTACTCAGATATTTAAGTAAGAAAATTATTTTAAATGTTTTAAAAGTATTTTAACTTTCACTGTTGTGATTTAAAAAAATAAATTAAAATACAGGAATTACAACATTTTGATTAGGCCGACTGGATTATAGGCCTACAAATGTTTAGGCAAGCTGCGTCAAAAAATATCTTGACTTACTCTTCAGTTAGGCCTACAAATGTTTCAGCAAATTACGTCTTAAACTATATTGACTTACTCTTCAGTTAGGCCTAAAATGTCTAAAAAAATATCTAGACTTACTCTTCAGTTAGGCCTTCATGTTTAAAATCTCTTCTTAAAATGTCTTGACTTACTCTTCAGTTAGGCTTTCATGTTTAAAATCTCTTCTAAAAATATCTCGACTTACTCTTAACTTAGGCCTACAACGTCTAAAAATATCTAGACTTACTCTTCAGCTAGGCCTTCATGTTTAAAATCTCTTCTAAAAATATCTTGACTTACTCTTCAGCTAGGCCTACATGTTTAAAATCTCTTCTAAAAATATCTCGACTTACTCTTAACTTAGGCCTACAACGTCTAAAAATATCTAGACTTACTCTTCAGCTAGGCCTTCATGTTTAAAATCTCTTCTAAAAATATCTTGACTTACTCTTCAGCTAGGCCTACATGTTTAAAATCTCTTCTAAAAATATCTTGACTTACTCTTGTTTTAGGCCTACATGTTTAAAATCTCTTCTAAAAATATCTTGACTTACTCTTGTTTTAGGCCTACATGTTTAAAATCTCTTCTAAAAATATCTTGACTTACTCTTGATTTAGGCCTACATGTTTAAAATTTCTATTTCCCGCCGCTCTAGTCATATCGCGAGAGCAGCACAATGTCTTTTATTTTAGCACCAAATTTTATCGTCCACACGTCGTCACGTGATAGTAACTACTTCCTGTTTGAGCCACTTCCGTCTGACCCAGTTCAACCTGACCCCGCTGACAATTTTAACTCAAACTCTCGAACGAAATGACGAAATTATCAGCTCAAATTTCATTACCCGGGTGCTTACATCATTGCAGATATTTCAGGAACACTTTAAGAATGTATATTTCTATGTTGTAATATTCCACCTATCTTTATTTCCGTGCACGTTAAAGGGTTTAAGTAGGTGGGGGTGGGGATTTTTTTCCATAATCGCTTTCTTTGTACTTTCAGTAGCTCGCCATTTCATCTTATACTTAGCCACTACGTACACGATCCTTTTTCTCTTTGGCGTCACAAGGTATCTGTGTTGGGGTGGGGGGGGGGACGACCCGCACTTCTCTATTTTGTAACCAGAATATTATAATAGGATATGCATAATGGTGTTAGTTTAATAAATAATTGCAAATCAAATAAGTTAGTTGGAACAGCTGCTGACGCTTATAAGGTATCGGCACTAAAGTGGTAAGTCGACACTCAATGATTTTAAGAGATCCTAAAAATACATGGAGTGTCGACCACAGCAGATTTTTCTTTCAGATAATTTTTCTAAGGTGGGGGGGGGGGGGGAGAAATTGCAATTTTCGGGGGTGGTGGTCAATTTCGTTTATATATGTGTTGGGGGGGGGGGGGTAAATTGGCTTGCCGCAATCCCCACCCCCATCCCAAAAGAGGTGCTGAATGACTGGTCGTTGCTACAAGATAAATCTTTAAAAATACAAATTTTAGCGATTAGAAAATAAGATCTTGTGTGTTTTATAACTAGAGAATCTGTAGAGGGTATTGTGCGCAACTGATGGTCAGGTGACCATTCGTTGGAGCTAACGAGTAAGAGCCGGCAGCCGGTCAGCCGATAGCCGATTAGGAGAAAGTGGGCCATTGGTTTAGGCTAGTGTTTACTTTAAGTACACACATGTTTTGTTATGAACTATTTAGTACTGGTGGTTTTTTTCTGTGCATGTTAAGCGTGTGCATGATAGAGTGTGAGGTGTGCGCATGTTTGTCTTCGCGCATGTTTGTGTGTGAAAGTCAAATGTTAAGTGACTCGACAAAGTCCAAACAGCTGATTAAACATTGTCACAGTTTGAGAACCATATACCAACCCTACAACACACAATTTGAGAACCGTCTACCAATCCTAAAACCCACAAGGTAACAGTTTGATCACCACCCAGCAACAATCACAGACCACAGTTTGATAACAACCCACCAACCCTCACAACCCGAGTTTGCGAACCATCTACCAACCTCACCACCCATAGTTTTACAATTATCCACCAACCCCACAACCAACAGTTTGAGAACAACCCACCAACCTCAGAAACCATAGTCTTAAAACCCTCCAGCAATCTTCAGAACCCACAGTTTGAGAACCAGCCGCCTGAATCAACCTCACCAACCACGCCAACCCAACAGTCACAATATTTAACAGCGGCAGGTAAATCGTGAGGCGATTGAGGGGAGATAACCGCTTTAATATACCTGTACGGAAAACCCTGTTTTACGTCTCTTTCACACCTTCTTGCTAAACTGTTTCTCGTTTTCTTCCCCCCCCCCCCCACACGCACAAACTACCAACACACTCCCACATCTTCAGGATAAATCTCTCAAGTTTCCACACAACACTGTCTATTTGACTAACTTTAAGAACAAAACGAAGTTCTTTTATCAAACAATAAATATCGTGCTAGTTCAGATAGGAGTGTAAGTAAAATTATTGGCCTAATCGTTAGTTGGCCTGTTTGTAGCACCTCTTTGTGCTTGCTCCTCACACGATCAGATATCTGGATTATAGTAATGAACGATCACGTAGGTAGCCGATACAACTCGATCACGTTGGTAGCTCGTACAGCTCGATCACTCATCGAAAGTAATTTCAATGTTGGTGATCATTTTTTTGCATTCAGCTTGGAAATTAGAACGCTTCAGAAAAAAAAAATCCTCTCATTTGCACTAGCCTCAAGTAACATTCGCCAGCTAACGACAATACATTTAAAGCTGGGGGTGAACACATATTGAATTTGTGATAACACATTCATTCTCTTTACAATTAGCTGGTCAAATATTTTATTGGCATTAAGAGTCATCTTGAATCTCCAAGATAAACGCCTATCAAGCAGTACAAAAACATTCAACAGAAACATGTATATATGTCATACAAAACTTGGTATATTTTTAATGTGACATACATTACTGTAACATTAGCTCCACAATTTTGTATTTTCCACAACAACGTAAAAATAATTCATATCAGCTTGAGATGTAAGATTCACTCTTAAATAGCCTTGTTTATTTTAATTCGGGATAGTAATAAGATGTATAATTAACGAAACACCAGCAGACCTTACAATCTACAATAGTCTTAAAAACCCCATGAAATCTTCTAATTCTTTTTAAAAATATGGCTAGCGATAAAACTATAGTTACATTTTAAAAACTTAGTTGTTTGGGAACCTTATCATTTTCATATTTTTGTATTGAATATAAGCCGTTGAAAATGCGTTTTGAATTATTTATCAATTTAAATGTTTTTAAAAACCGACCTCAACCTCTCCTTGAAATCAACCGGAATAGCCAGGGAAAGCAAAACAATGAAAGTCACAACAATTGTTTTCCATGATAAAATACACAATAGTGCTCACTGGTTTTATAGCCTAGTAGTTTATTTATATGAAATAAAATAACATCCCCTATCACCACCACACCTTGATTCTAATAATCCAAATAAAAAATAAAAGTGTTTGCTAAATTACTATTATATTAGTAGTAATTTTTTTTTTAATTATTTCTAGCCATAATAAAACCGGAAGTAATTTTGTACTTTTTACACACATGTTGTAAAGTATCCAATTTTAGTTTTAAAATATACTTTCTGGTAAAAAACATTTCGATCCATGTCCATATGGAATCAGCTTTTCAAACCTATTCTAGATTACACAGAAAACAAAAATCTATGGGTTATTTTCCTTAATGCAATAATTTATATTAGTTTTATAAATAAATATTGAAAATATATTTTAAAAATTTAAACATTTTAAAAAGCGAGATTTTAAAAAGAAATTAAAAATCGAAAAAAAAATGATTTGATACACTTGTCAATAAGACACGTTTCTGTGGCTTTCAAGTGTGCCCAATATATTTACAACTGAGATATGAGAGTTACAAGTGTCGTTCTGTTACCTCATGGGACGTCAGCTGACTGACAGTAACACTGACATGTCAGAATGATATTTCTGTCACGTGGGATCCCCCACTGACAACACTATCCAATGTAGAGTCCCACTCGGCCATCTGTCACGTGGGGCCCACTAATCTAACGATGTCTTTTACAGGCCCCCCCCCCCCCCCCCCCCACACACTAGCATTGTCTATCGTGAGGCCCTATTAGCAGCGTTGTCTTTAGCAGGGCCCCCACTAGCATTATCTAGCATGAGGCCCCCATCTGTAACGTCTGTGTTAGGGCCCCCATTGAGAAGATGGCCTGTGGTTTTCCTCTGGCACTCCCTGCCTTTAGCCACGTAATACTTCAAGAACGCTCTGGTAGCGTTGTAGCCCCTCTGTCAACAAGAGACAAAACAATACATTTACAATCTCTCTAATCAATAGTTCGATACACTAGCAACTCTTGAGTGTGCCCTAGACGTCACCTCGAAGTATAGTAGAACAGATTAATCAGAAAACACCGACGTTTTCCTAGCACCTATTATTAGTTTAAAGGATTTGTCAAAAAATGATCTAAAAAATAAATAAAATCTTGTTCTCGAGCAACTATTTTGATCAGCACTCACTAAACGCGTTGTTTTCTTTTTTCCTATTTAGATATTTTGTGTTACACCGAATCTCAATAACATAATATGAAGTAGTCAAGTTCTTAAAATGTGTATTCCTTGAGCCCTGAAATCGTTTACGATGTCAAGCGAATAATTAAGTTCATATAATTAGTGCCACCCTTTGTATGTCTTAAGAGTGGAACTGTAGTGACATTATCAAGTGTATACAACATTCTGTAAACACTTTCATACCTGAATCAGGAACTCTTTATCTGCCTCTTCCAGGGCATAATCCGTAGTTCCGATATGCCCTGTGTTGATGCCCACTGTCCTGAAGTCATCAGTTTCCTGTAAGTGTTGAAATATGCCAAACGTGTTAATAAAATTTCGTTTTTCAAATTAGATTTATGACTTGGACAAAACGTCTACACATTTTGAGAATAAGATGCATTAATTAGAAATGGAATGAACGTTTTGAGAATTAGGCGAATTAAATATCGAAATTGAACGAAAGTTTTGAGAATTAGATCGATGACATAATTTATACTCTTTCTTTCATCAACAACGAAGAACATAAGAAAGCCTTCCAAAACATGGCAGTTGAGCACTCGTTACATCCAACTAAGTCTACTCTTCATCTACTCCAAACAGCAGGCTATATTTTACCTTAAATAATACAAGGACTAAATTTTACCTTAACCTATACAGAGCTACATTTTACCTTAACCTAAATTAAAGCTACACTTAAAATAACCAGTGCTTATGGCTATACTTCACATTAACCAATACAAGAGGCTAAATATCACATTAACAAATAAAAAGGCTACATCAGACCTTAACAAAGACATATTTGAGGTTGGTCAACATCGTCTCCATCAGAGCTGATAAAAAATCACCCAAGTTTTTGACGTCTCTTCTCCCAAATCCCTGGAACCTCGTCTGGAAATTTTATCAGATTTTTTAAAGGAGTATGGATGTGGGAATATGGTGTTGTTGTATTTTTTTATAAAGTATGCTTTGAAATTATGATAATAAAAATATAAAATCTACAAAACACTTTGTACGAGGACCTAAATGATTTGAAATGTTTTATTTTCTATCTAAAAACAAATAATTATATATATATATATAATACATCAAAACATACAAAATGGAGGGAACAAAAATATCCTACCTGTAACCTGATTCCTTGTTCTTCAATAAATTGGACCAGCTCTCGAAACTCTATCTAAAACAAAACAAATTTAAATTTCCGAACAAAATTAACAATGGTTGAACACGTCTAAAACACCTATATGGTACAGTACAAAAATTCTAAAGAAAAACAACCAATTACCTACCTGACCGTCCCGTCTAATTACCTACCTGACCGTTCCCATCTTTGTCTAAAATTTTAAACGCCGCATCCACTTCCGACGTTTCTCCGAACAAAAGTCTGACGTCATCTTCAGAAAACACGTCTCTCTGGAAACAAAAAACGTCACTAAATAACCTGCCGAGTCTCCTTAATTAGACTGACATTTAAAAAACGGTTCGTACACCACGTTAGCTGGACCGTCAACAAAAAGTTGCTGTTGCTCTCTCAAGAAATTCCTGAACTTCGATGTCTCTACATCGCCACTATGTGTTGCTGGAAAACATTACTGTCTCCTAGATTATAACGTTACTAATAAAACAAAACAATTTTTAAAATTTAATTAGAATATAAAAGAATTCCTTACGTCTTCAAGTGCATATTGTAGTTCGTGTTTATCAATAAATTCATTGTCGTCTAAATTGTGCTTGTTTAGTGCCTGCAGTGGTAATGATGAAGTTTAGGGTTTGTGTTTAAAGCTGATGGTACTACTGATTAAAGAGAATGGCGCTATAAAAGTAATATTCTAATACAAATAGCTATGTGAGTGTAGGCTTAGGTGGTAGGTTCTTGTAAATGCACAAAATAGGACTTTATAGAGCCACCTTAACTTCACATCTTACATTAACAATATGTTGAACTATTTCCTTCAAGACAAAGTAAACTCATAACCATAAAAACAAACCTTAAACTAAAAAAAAATAATTTCTAATCATGAAAGCTGAAATTGAAACCACACATTGTCCCATCACGCCCTGACCTTCATGAAATTCTCCACAGCCTTGACGATTCGTCTGTGTTCACGGTCAGCTTTTCCTTTGGCAGTTTTCTTCTTCTGCTTCAGTCTGGGTAAAACACATTGACTTGTTTTTGTGTGAGTTGTGAAATCACATTTAAATGTGGTTGGTGCTAAGAAAACACAACTTGTGAAATCACTTGTAAATGTGGTTGGTGCTAAGAAAACACAGCTTGTGAAAATACATGTAAATGTGGTTGGTGCTAATAAAACACAACTTATGAAATCACATGTAAATGTGGTTGATGCTAAGAAAACACAGCTCTATAAAATACGACCTGAGTTGCCACTGTACAAGTGGTAAATAAGGAACCAATTGATAATCCCACACAGACGGTCTAGAAGAGAATGTTCGCATTGAACCGATACATGAGTCTAAACAAAGATTCAACTGGGATGGACATGGCACACGAGAGTTAGGTCTAGTTAAAATTTTTTCATAAGGAAAATTACAAGGCTGATGTAAATAAGACAGAAAACAACGCCAGGGTTCGACATTAGTAGAGGACCTATGGATGGTTGAGTGTAGGGTGGGTGGGGTTGGGGTAAAGCAGAGTATGGCTGAGTGCAGGGGGGGGGGGTGGGTAAAGCAGAGAATGGCTGTGCAAGAAAGGAGGGGGAATAAAGCAGATGATGGCTTAGTGCAGGGGAGGGGGGGGGGATAAAGCAGAGGATGGAGGGGGGGGGGGTAGTAAAGCAGAAGGATAACAGCGGCGCCAAGTAAGTCTACAAGACAAACACTTAGAAAGACAAGTATAAGATGAGGAAGAAACAAAAAATGATTTAAACACTCAATAAAAATTAAACTTAAATTTTAAAAATACAATATTATTTTAATCATAAATAGATTTAAACTTACTTAAAGCCCTGAATTTGCACATACGACAGAAAACTAAAGGATAATACCCTGTTTTTAAAAGGTGAAATAGCTAGCGATTTAAGCCACAATACATGACTATACGAACAACAAGAAAGATAAGTTATCATTGTCTAGGAGGGGAAAGAACTCACTTAAACAATTTGGTTTGTTTACTTGGAGTTGCTGGTTCGTTACAGCCGTATCTGTGTTCTAGTCTGTACCGCATGACCTCCATCTCGATGTCATCATACTGGGGAAACATCACATTTTACTCATCAAATTGGGTAAAACATCACAGTTTACATATCAAACTGAGAAAACATCATATGTTACTCACCAAACAAGGAAAAACATCAAACTTTACTTATCAAACAAACATTAGAGGTCATCCATTTATGACGTCCACACGCGGGGGGGGGGGGGGGGGGTCCGAAAAAAAACTGACTTTTGTGGACGCATATGGACTTTTATAAGGAAAAAAGTGGATTTTTGTGGACCGGGGGGGGGGGTCCAAAATCCAAAAAAAAAGTTTACATTTTGCTCATTAAACTGGGAAAAACATCACATTTTACTCTTCAAATTGGGAAAAACATTAACTTTACTTATCAAATTGGGACAAACATCACATGTTACTCATCAAATTGGGACAAACATCACATTTTACATCAAACTGGGAAAAACATCACACTTTACTCACCAAACTGGAATAAATTAACATACTAATATCAATAATAATTATTATTAAAATCTAATATTACACGAATATCAGTGTTTTGTAATTAAGTGGTTTTAAAGAAAAATCACAAGAAATCCCACTACATTTAACTGGCTGGTTTAAATGTAACATCTACATACCACAAGAAATCCCACTGTATTTGGCTGGTTTAAATGTAACATTTACCTACCACAAGAAATCCCACTGTATTTAAATAGGTGGTTTAAATGTAACATCTACCTACCACAAGAAATCCTACTGTACATCTACCTACCACAAGAAACTCCACTGTACATCTACCTACCACAAGAAACTCCACTGTACATCTACCTACCACAAGAAACCCCACTGTACATCTACCTACCACAAGAAACCCCACTGTACATCTACCTACCACAAGACACCCCACTGTAATTGGCTGGTTTAAATGTAACATTTACCTACCACAAGAAACCCCACTGTCCATCTACCTACCACAAGAAACCCCACTGTACATCTACCTACCACAAGAAATCCCACTGTTTTGTTACTTGGCGGTTGAAAGAACTGAGCCTTCAAGTACGGTAACTCTTGCAGAGATTTCACACGCTGCAGGAACGAATCTTCTTTAGCCATTGATAGGTACCAGCCTGGGGTAGATGACAGGATTGTAGTTTAGTATGGGATAAAAGCATGTTGGAGTGTATTGCAGGGTAGGTGAAGGAGAATGGAAGAAATTGAGTGCTCAGCGGCGGTAGTAGGAACCAATTTGGTTGTTTCCCTTGAATAAATAAAATGCATTTGTACATAGATTAATTATTCAACCACACATCACTAAGTTAAGTATTTAATACTTTTACAAAAATTTAAAACAACCCACGTTTTTCTTTAAAGTTATTTATATACTGGTGCATTATTATTCCGCGTTGCTGGGGTCTCAGAATTAAGAAATTTAAAGAAATAAGTCATGGTAACATTCAATTTGCGTTTTTATTTAAACGTATCAATCCTATTAAAATGAAAATATGATGAAATTCCATGTACATTTGAATTGAAACACATGTATCATCACTAATGGTGTATTTTGAGACGCGGATCTTAATTTCTGATTGGATCATGTAAAAAAAAAGAAGATTGCGTCATACTAAAACTGACGAAACTCGACTGGATTGATTCTTTAACATGTTAAAAATTATTATTAGACGTTTTATTAACGCCATATGACTGATGCAATTTCTTAGCTAATGGGTATTTTTTAGATGCGTGATGCATCGTCATTGGATCTTGAACCAGGTGTCAAGTTTTTAAGAAATTGGTCAGTTAGAAATGATCTAAATTTTGCTCACCAGTTTCGATTTATGACGATAGAGATTCAGAGGAAGCAAGTTAAATAAAAGCTTGTAATAATATAAACAAACTAATCATTGAAATAGTATCTTCAAGAGACCTAACTAAAAACAAATCTCTATGTCTAACGTATGGACGAGATACACGAAGGTAACACAACTGACCATCAAAACAGTGTATCGGGTAGTTACACAGGAGACCGCCATCAACATACGTGTCCGTTCGACCGTGGTTGTCATAGAAACGGGCAGTAAATAAACCTTTAAGGTTGCATGAAACAAAAAAACAAAAATCAAATAAAGCAATTAAATTTTTACAAAGAAAAAATATTCAAAACTTAATTTGCGATTGCAATTAATTTTCGTTCCTTTAAATTAGGGTATTTAGTGAGTTTATTAATCTGATCAGGATATTATTCTACTTTTAATCTGTACTTTTACCATTCATTTACGATTCTCGTGACATTTTATGAAAAAAAACTTGCTTTAAGTAAAAATGTTAAAATAATTTTATTAGCTTGTATGTTTTGTTTGTTTGTTTGTTTATGATTAACGTTTTAACTCGGCTTTCACTTAATGCTAATACAGCAAATATGTATAATCTTTAATAAAAAACGCTAAATATTTTAGCGTCGAATTCTTTCATATCAAATTTCTGTTAATTTTTTATATTTTATTTTTAAAACTTTTTTAAACCTTTTTAATACAAGGTTGTTTTTTTTTTAAATTTAATTTATTTGAGCATGTTGCGTTTTTCCGAGGAGGGTCTCGATTTACCAATTTATTTTATATTTACTCTATTTAGTTTTAGCTCTTGATTGATGAAACGCGTTTGTTTATATATATATATATATATATATATATATATATATCCTTGTTATTTCTCTTTTTTTCTCTTATAAAAACCTCAACCGACCTGGCAAGGCCATTGACATGCGCACTGCTTCCCTTATCGGCATATCCGGTGTAGTTTTGGGGTGGCAGTACTCACTCCTCATCTGGTTCAGGTTGGTGACTACAATACACAGCTCCACTTTACGTTCTCTGTACAACTGTAGACATGGGTTTGGTTAAGATGGGTTGGGTTAGGGTCAAGGTTGATTAGACTAAGTGACCACAATACACAGCTCCACTCTACGTTCTCTGTACAAATGTAGACATGGGTAGGGTAGGGTTAAAATGGGTTGGGTTAGGGTTACGATGGGTTGGGTTAGGGTTAAGAGGGGTTGGATTGGTACGAACAAAACAAAGCAACAGCCTACATACCTTGCACAACTGTAGAGATGGTTAAGGTGGTTAGAGGGGGTTAGAGGGGGTTAGTGTGGGTTAGAGTGGTTAGAGGGGATTAAAGGGGGTTAGTGGGGGCTAGAGGGTGTTAAGCAGAGCTAAACTAAACGTAAAACAACTAACAGCAAAGAAGGTTTCTCTAAACAACGAAAACTTTTCTTACATCATCGAAGGTCATGTCGGGGTTCGCTGTCGAAGACTTTTCTTTGATCATTTCACCGCACCAATCAGAAAATCTGTCGCCAGGATTCCAGCCAAACTTGCTCAGGAGGTTGGGCAGAAGGCTGAAGTACCCGCAGGAGTGGTCTAAGGGTGGACACGACACCAGAACATGTCACGTTAGTGGTAGTTTGACCAGCAAAATACACATTTGTTTAGAAATTTAACTTTGGCTAAACAAGTTCCTTCTGCAATCTACAACTTCTCGTCAATGGTCTAGCTAGGCGCAAAGACGTCAGACACAGGACCTTAAAGTCCTACAGTACGTCAGGAACTCACCTAAAAATATCTCCTCAAGATCATCCGACATGAAAACTTCTATATCGCAGGAACTGTAACCCAGGGCTACCAGTGTTGCGGTTATCGCCCCTGCACTACTTCCACCAAATCTTCGAATTCCTGGCATCATTCCTATTTCCTCAAAGTACTGAAACACACGTACAAAGTTCAAGAACTTTCGTAAGTAATCAATTATTAATCAAATAAATGCATGTCAATCCTAAACAAGTAGCTGTCTTTAATTTAACTCTGCACCCCCACAGTTTCACAACATCATATCAGCAACTCTCTAATGGGTTCTACGAGTAATGCTCTAATGATACTTGCACGAATGGACGTTTGCATTTATTGAACAAATGCCCGAATGGACATTTGTACTGTTTGGGGAAAATGCCCGAACGAACGTTTTCACAAATAGAAAACATGCCCAAACAGAAGTTTGTAAGGTTTGAACAAAAACCAGAAAGAACGTTTTCATAAGTGGGATAAATGACCACATAGACTTTTGCCAGAGGGACAACTATCCTCACCTTTATACCACCTACATAGGCGAGTCCCTTGTTGCCACCTCCCTCAAAGATCAAATTCTCGAACGGAAACAGGAAGTCTTCGGGAAGAATTTCCGCGTATTTCGGTGGGGACTCTATAACAAAATACACGATAGTGTATGTGATATTACACTTGACAATAAACATCTTCAATTTTTTTTTAATATTTTAAAATTTTCTAATTTTACTAAAAACTTAATCTAAAAACTTAATCTAAAAACTTAATCTAAAAACTGAATCTATCTAAATACTTAATCAAAAACTTAATCTAAAACGTTGATGTTTTAGCGCTACAGTTAACCTGTGACTTCAATGAATTCGGTGTCAGTGACGTCATCTTGAGACTGCTCCCAGACCAGGTCCTCTCTCTCCTTCAGCATCGCCAGATACCTGGAGATAATAGTCTTGTTCGTTAGCCGTACCGTGTGACCTTATGTCGTCCAGTCTTGTATTGATCATTCCGTCTGTTGGTCCTAGGACCTTTGACCACAGGTGCTTTGACCATAGGGGGTTTGACCATAGGGGCTTTGACCATATGGGGTTTGACCACAGCGGAGCTTTGATCATAGGGGCTTTGATCATAGGGGGTTTGACCACAGCGGGCCTTTGACCATAGGGGGTTTGACCATAGGGGGTTTGACCACAGCGGAGCTTTGATCATAGGGGCTTTGATCATAGGGGGTTTGACCACAGCGGGCCTTTGACCATAGGGGGTTTGACCATAGGGGGTTTGACCATAGGGGGTTTGACCATAGGGGGTTTGACCATAGGGGGTTTGACCATAGGGGGTTTGACCATAGGGGTTTTGACCATAGGGGGTTTGACCATAGGGGGTTTGACCATAGGGGGTTTGACCATAGGGGGTTTGACCATAGGGGGTTTGACCACAGCGGAGCTTTGATCATAGGGGCTTTGACCATAGGGGGTTTGACCATAGGGGGTTTGACCACAGCGGAGCTTTGACCATAGGGGGTTTGACCATAGGGGGTTTGACCACAGCGGAGCTTTGATCATAGGGGCTTTGACCATAGGGGGTTTGACCACAGTGGAGCTTTGATCATAGGGGCTTTGACCATAGGGGGTTTGACCATAGGGGGTTTGACCACAGCGGAGCTTTGACCATAGGGGGTTTGATCATAGGGGGTTTGACCATAGGCGGTTTGACCACAGGTGTTTTCTCAGCAGAGGGTCTTTGATCACAGGTGGTCTATCAACTGGTGTTTGATCACAAGCGCTGTGTCCGAGGTCGTCGCATCCGTGGTCGTGGCGAAAAGTACAAGCTTGCTTTGTTTCCAGTTGAAACTTGGAATCAAATGCACACGATTGGCGATGGTGTAGCACGAACAAATAACATTTGTGAAGGATGGCATTACAGTCTTCAGTCTCTCCTCCAATGTAGTCACCCAACAATGTGACGTTTCCTACAGATGGACTGCACACGGCAAAAGACAGCTTTTCTTGTCGCATTATTTGTATTTCATTTATATTTAAAATAAATCTATGAGGCCTAGCACCAGCCTTTATGTGGAGACTAAAATATAGTTCTTGGCTTATTACAAATACATGTTAATTTCTATTAACGTACTCTCAGGAAACATGTATACAATCGTGTTAATTGTATCACACTTATGATCAAAGCCGGACACAGCGCTTGCGATCAAACACCAGTTGAAAGACTACCGGTGATCAAAGACCCTATGCTGAGAAAACACATGTGGTCAAACCCCCTATGGTCAAACCCCCTATGATCAACCCCCTATGGTCAAAGCACCGCTATGGTCAAAGGCCCGTTGTGGTCAAACCCCCTATGATCAAAGCCCCTATGGTCAAAGCTCCGCTGTGGTCAAACCCCCTATGGTCAAACCCCCTATGGTCAAAGCACCTGTGGTCAAAGGTCCGCGCACCCGTTTGTTGATTTTATCAAGAGGGTCGTACTAGTGGCAGATAAACTACACGTTTAGAGATGTTTTTATTTTGTTTTACAACTACGACTTGATTGGTTAGATCAGGTTTCAATTAGCTCAATGTGGCTTTGGTGAACTCATTAAAATATAATTAACGAGCCGACCCGCGGCATATCATACGCCGCTATTTAGTTGTTTCTTTTTTCTACTTTTCAGTAATTCATTATTTTGTGAATTCGACAGTACCAACGCTGCCACTGAAAATATTTCTTTAAAACACTATAAGTAGCTCGTTTAGGACGATACCCCCCTCCTTCCCCCCCCCCTCCGTTAAAGTAAACTCCACTTAGTTACCCCCTTCCCCCTACGTTTAAAATCGGTTCAAACTAAATTATCTGCCCCTAATAGTCGTCACTAAACCCGGCTCTGCTGGTAAACATTTAGCGTGAACCACAGCTCACCAGACCATGTAGGGGTGGGGGTGGTAGGGAGCGCGCTTACAGCTTGTTTTCTAGCGTCTGCCAGAAAAATAATTATATATACGAGCCGACCCGCAGCGTATCATACGCCGCTATTTAGTTGTTTTATTTTCTACTTTTCAGTAATTCATAATTTGTGAATTCGACAGTACCAATGCTGCCACTGAAAATATTTGCTTTAAAACACTACCTCACCCCCCCCCTTTCCCCTAACCCCGACCCTACACCCCCCCCCCCCCGTGAAAGCAGCCTCCTCTTAGTTATTTCTTAGTTACCTCCTGTAAGTTTAAATTCGAACTAAATTATCTGCCCCTAATAGAAACCCGGCTCTACGGCTCTACGATTTGTAAACATTTAGCTTTGTAAACATTTAGCGTGACCACAGCTCACCAGACAATGTGGGGGTGGGGTGGGGGTGGTAGTGATAGTGATAGAGAGAAAGAGAGGGGACTGCAAGGAGGTGCTTGCAGCTTGTTTTCTAACGGCTCCCAGAAGAGAATTATATATATAGATAGATTGGCTAATTTCAATCAGGGTTACCTCCTCTTCTCGTCAAGGTGTGTGTACTGTGTTTGTGTCAACGGTTCTTCGTGTACACTTCTGTTGTTTCCCATGGTTTCTGCAGCTGTCTTCAACAGACAAAATAACGAGATCATCAAAGATTGACACAGACATTTGGTTAGATCTGAACCCTAAATACATACAATAATTTTTTGTCATTATTCGAAGGGTGCAGTATTTTATCCAGGTAATGTGATTGGATAGATTTTAAAACTGCATGACACTCAATTTAAGTAAGATTTGAGAACAGAGTTTCTTCCAGGCATCTCTTCGGGGGGGGGGGGGGGCAAAGAACATTTTTTACCGCCCCCCCCCCCCCCCCCGAACGAAATGAAATTTATACAACCTATAAAGAAAATATATACTTTTAACAGGGTCCGCCCCCCCCCCCCCGAAGAAAGTCTACCGCCCCCCCACCCCCGGAAAGTTCAAGTGCCCCCCCCCCCCCCCCCCCGGAAAAGAAGTCTGGAAGAAACACTGTTTGAGAAACAGGACAGGGTGAGGACAACTCTACTGAAAACTAGCGTTTGAGTTGTCGTACATGATAATTTGGTCAAGACATAAAAGAAGATTGAGATCAGCACCACTATTTTGGGATATTATAGGGTTGATGCTTGTTACAGTCTGTTAGAATTTTGAAGATTAAATTTTTTTAATTCTAGAAAAAAGTACAGTGATTTTGTTCCATAAACAGGTTAACAAATAAATAAAACGTATTATTCAGTCAATCAAAAAATTTATTTATTACTTACCGTAATAAATTTTAAACTTAAAGTAAAATTAAAGATCACTTTCACCAACGTATAGTAAATTTACCCTTCAACAATTGTGAATACTGTTGACAAATAATACAGTTATGTAAAAACAATCCAACTTATATACAGACTTGTCAAAATATCACTGCAAAATCGCAGCCTTTTTCTTATAACCTATAGACATCCTAATTACCATAATGAAACTTTTACAACGCAAATGATCTGTTTGCATTTAATCAAATACCAGATGTTGAAAATAGGTTGTTTGCATAGCCTACATTAAAAATACTAGTCTACAGTAAGTTGTTGATCTTTTAACCTAGTTTAGTCGGTACTAATGGTACGCCCACTTTACAGCGGCGCGGGTTACTCTGGGGAGGGGGGGGGGCAGGGAGAGGGGTGGGAGAGCATTTTATTGCAGAAAACGTGATGATTCATCATGGGCAAAAAGGGGAATAAGTTCCTACCGTCGATAGCAGAAAGAAAATGACATACTGCGGTAAGTGTTCAGTAGTCAAACAAGTGGCGACGTCAATGGACCCGAACGCTAGCCTGTACACACGAACGCTAGACTGTACACACGAACGCTAGCCTGTACACACGAACGCTAGCCTGTACACACGAACGCTAGCCTGTACACACGAACGCAAGCCTGTACACACTTACTTACTTGATCCTCGTCCCTCCCTGTGGAGTACAGGGCAGCAACAGCTCACAGCCAATGTGTTAGGATTCAATACCTGATTTAGAACGTTTTTCATTTTATAAAATTACATAAAGAAAATTAAAGTCCGCATATAATTATGAATTTTAATCATGGTCGTATTTAGGTCCCCTAAATGCCCCCTTCTCGCAATATCTAATGGCGCACGTTTAGTTCTGCCGTTTATAGCGGCTGCCACACGCACAAAAGTTCCGCCATTCTTCTTTTTCACACCTGCGCGATCAGCGTAAATATTTTCAACGTCACGCTTCACTGAACGAAAACAGAGACTCGTGCCGTGGTGGGTTTCAGGCGGTGTAGGTGTTCGACTTGTGTTGTTTTGTAGGTATAGCTCTGTTGTTGTATAGATAACATTATTGTTGTAGTTGTTACACTGTTGTTGTAGATGTCACCCTATTGTAGGTGTTACACTGATGTTATATGTGTTACACTGTTGTAGGTGTTACACTATTGTAGGTATTACACTGTTGTTGTAGGTGTTACACTGTTGTTGTTGTTGTTACACTGTTGTTGTAGGTGTTACACTGTTGTTGTAGATGTTACACTGTTGTAGGTGTTACACTGTTGTTGTTGTTACACTGTTGTAGTAGGTGTTACATTGTTGTTGTAGGTGTTATACTGTTGTAGGTGTTACACTGTTGTTGTAGGTGTTACACTGTTGTAGGTGTTACACTATTGTAGGTATTACACTGTTGTTGTAGGTGTTACACTGTTGTAGGTGTTATACTGTTGTAGTAGGTGTTACACTGTTGTAGGTGTTACACTGTTGTAGTAGGTGTTACACTATTGTAGGTATTACACTGTTGTTGTAGGTGTTACACTGTTGTTGTTGTTACACTGTTGTAGTAGGTGTTACACTGTTGTTGTAGGTGTTACACTGTTGTTGTTGTTACACTGTTGTAGTAGGTGTTACGCTGTTCTAGTAGGTGTTACACTGTTGTTGTAGGTGTTACACTG